TGGGTGGATTAGCACTCTTAAGTGTCTTCTATGTGTTTCCCACCCCCCTACTTTTTATGAACATCAACCCCCTCAGGCTCTGTAGTTCCTTCAGGTGACAGGCCATCTTAATTTGAACCAGATAGATTATTATAATCTTACTTGGCATGATTCTTGATATCACCAGTGAATTAAAAGTTTTCTAAACCAAAATATGGCCCAGGACCAGCAGCACCAGCACATCCCCTGGGAACTTGTAGGAGATGCAGATTTTCGGTCTGCACCCCACACCAACTGAATCATGAACTCTGAGGTTCCCCCACCCAGCCAACCTGGATTTAATCACCCCTCCGGGAACTCTGGTGTCCTGAAGTTGTGAGACGCCCTGCTCCAGGACAGCCTATCCACAATGTCCTGCGGTGATGGGAATTCTGTGTCCGTGTCCGGGCTGTCCAGTGCGTCAGCTGCTGGGCACACGGGGCTGTCAGAGCCTTGAAATGTGCAACCTAGTAATGGATTACGAATTTTACTTAATTTCGACTATTCTAGATTTAAATTTTTCTTTGTTTCTTCTTTTTTAATACCTTCATCTAATTCTCCTGTCCTTCACCTCTGGTAACCAAAAATCTGATCTCTTTTTCTATCAGTTTGGGTTTATTTTATTTTGCTTTGTTTTGTTTTTTAGTTTCACATATAAGTGAGATCATACAGTATATGTCTTTCTCTGCCAGACTCATTTCACTTAGCATAATGCACTCAAGGTCCATCCATGTTGTCTCAAATGGCAGGGTCTCATTCTTTTTTACAGCTGAATAGTATTCCAATGTGTGTGTATTTATATATATATATTTTTTCTTTATCCATTCATCTTTTGATGGACATTTAGGTTGTTTCTATACCTTGGCTTTTGTAAATAATGCTGTAATGAACATGGGGGTGCAGATATCTCTTGGAGAGAGTGATTGAATTTCCTTAAGATAAATACCTGCAAGTGGAATTGCTGTATCATTTTCTATTTTTAATTTTTGAGGAGTCTCCACTGTTTTTCCAAAGTGGCTGCACTAATTTACATTCACAGCTCGATTTAAATTTAAATAGCCACATAAAGCTAGTGACTACACATTTGTTATCCCCTACTGTTTGTTATTGTGTGGATAAACTCCTGAAAAGCTTTAAAAAATGCGTGATTGGTTGTAGAATTGTTAATTTTATATCCCAGAACAAAATGCTCCCGGAGTGGAGCACGAATTGCTGTGACAGTAGTTGATTTAGGCCCTTGTATTGGGGTAGGCGGTTAAATGTAGCTAGCAAGCAGGGGAAGCATATTCTGGAGCATAACATTGATTTTGTGAATACACCTCAGCCGTGCAATGCCCAGTAACATCACTGGACCTCTTATAAACATGACTGATGCAGACACATATGTGTCCTTTCCAGAGAAGTCGAGGTGGTACTCAGGCATAGAGTAGGGTCAACTGTTTCTTGGAGTTGGGGCCCTGGTCTATTCCTTGTGTCTTTGAGTGCTCTCTGGGGTTGCCTGACTGAGGGAGCTTTTTAAAGAGATATTAATGTAAGAGATTCGGTGAGTCCCCTTCCTGATCTCCACCTCTGAGCCCCCCAGAGACTTTGGGCTTCTTGTGGAATTGTCCAGAAACTATGTAGGCTGATTCCTGAGTCTGGGCTGGCACACAGCTCTCAGATGAAATTCCAAGAATAACGGTCAGATTCTTAGACTTAGGAGGAGGACTTGAAGGAAAAGAGGGCCCAGCTGGGCTTGTTAGGCTGAATTGTTACAAATGCTGTGCTCTGTATAGTGCCTGGTGTGGAATGACCATATCTTTTTCACCTTTTCCAAAACTCAGCAGAAACTCTGGGTTGAAAGCATCCCTAGTGGTCATTCAATCCTGTGACTAAAGCAGAACGTGGCATTTAGGAGCCAAGGAACACCTGAGACTGGTTAGTTAAGGACCTTTTTCCCCAGTGTAGCAACTTAGTCTTGCAGTTCAAGCAGCTGTCTTTGACAGAAAGTGATACTAAATTCTCTGTCATAAGCAAAGTTCTACATGACTGAGCCTCCTAATTGAGGGCCTCGTTTGTTGCATTATTTAAATCCATATCATTGATTTTCATAATCCAGCTCTTAGAATCAGAATGTTAAAGTCAGGAGGAAGAGAACTTAGAATCCAGCCTTCTCATTTATGCTCCAGGAAATGGAGACCCAGAGAGGTTGGTGAGTTGAGTAAGAACACACAGCAAGTTTAGGGCTGAGTCAAGGGAATCAGAGCCAGCCAGAGATGACAGACCAGCATGCCTGTCTGTGTTGGTACATCACACTGTCCCTTTGTTTCCTATGTGTGCTCAGCTCCATGTCTGTAGACTGTGTGTATGTGTGTGTGTGTGTGTGTGTGTACACACAGCTGTGGTTCCAGTCAGAAACAGGACAGGTTGATGAAAAGGAATGTTTCAAAGGCATAATAACTATATTGATGCTCATTGTTAAGCTGTATTTTAAAATGTTCTTGCTGATGTGTCAGTTACCTTGAGAAATGCCACCAGAATAATCTGACTGGTGACATATTATTGCTACCTTTTCCTAATAGCTGAACTTGTTCATGCCATGTATGTGTATAGTTTTTGCACAACTCATATTATTAACTGGTTATTTTTTATGGACAGTTTTGTTGGGATTAGTTTGTTCCAAGCACTTGACCTGTTCACATTTGTCAACTCCGATACCCCTTCTTTTGTAACTTGCTTCTTTTTTAAATAGCATGCCTCACTTGCTTGATTCCCAAGGTGTTAAAATGCTAGGTGCTGAGTGTGGCACTGTGAACATAATAAGTGTTCTCTAAGTCTTGGTTGAAAGAGTGACTGTTACCCCCAAGATAGGTCTGACTGTTCACTTCTTTTGGTCTTTAGTATAGCCAGGGGGAGAAATTAGCTGTGTAATTTTTTTTTGCTCTCTAGCTTGAATGGAGTTTTAAACAAAAAAGCTCACATGCACACCAAAAGGCTGGAAAATGATTAGTGAATTGAATGTGGGGTTATTGTTTGTGTCCACAAAACAAAACCCTAAATCACATTTAGCATAATTTGTGGTTTTAAATTGGACTGATTGAGCAAGGAAAGTGAAATAATCTCTCATCCTGTCAAAAAGGCGATACCTTCAGTCCAGCATTTAGTTGCATTGGTGAAGTAACTTTGGGAAGGCAGCAGTAATTCTGGCTACATTATTGTTGGTTTGTGGCTAGATTGAGGTCATTTTCTCTTGGTTGCATTAACTTTCTCTCTCTATTGCTCTTCAGACTAATGAGATGAACGCAGTGAGAGAGGCTTAGTGGTAGCTGCAGGGTGGGCAGGGGAGGGTGACCTCTGGGGCACGGCTGTAGTTGTCTGTATGGCTGTTTCCATACGTCATGTTGCAAGGAAAGAACCAGTAAGCTTCCAACACCCAGAGACTCAGCCTGATGAATTTCTTCATGATCTTTTAGACAAAGTGAATGCCATTTACTTGCACAAAAGTGTGTTATTGACTATGCACTTACACATGTGCTTTCGCAGCCCGATTGTACAGGTAGGGCTCACAGGCATTCATGTAGGTATCCAGTGCAGGTTCTGGTGGAGCCTCTAGCTGCCTTCATTATCCCATCATCTCCATCCCCACAACCAGCCACTTCAGTGACTAATGCAGGCCTTGCTCATTTCCCATTTGGACCACTTCCTAGGTGTCTTAGTCCAGACTGATTCATAGTACTTAACAGTCCCGTCTGCCAATGAATACATGTCTTTTACCTTTTATGAAGTCTTCTACCTTCCAAAAGGTCTGAGGTCATGGATAACTTAGGTATTTTACGACGCTGAACATGACCCTCAAAACTGTTCTGAACAGTGTGCTTTCCTTTCTGCTTTTGTTCCCCGGCGACCTATACCCTTGAGTTCTTGGAATGGCTGTCTCCTCCAGTGTGTTTGGTGTCTGTTTGGAATTTTACACATACCTTTGTAGTGGTGCCAAGCAAAGGTGCTTGCAGGTTATCCTATTCTTCTGGGACACCCCTGGAGGGAGCTGTTGGGATGGGACCTAGAAGTACTGACATAGGACTTAACCCTTTCTTGTGTGGTACCCAAGGCTCGTGTCAGTGATTTCAGTTACCTGGGTAGTCTTGGTTTTAGAGTTTGCAGGACCATGGGCTAGCTCGTGGTCAGTAACAAATGCCTGTGGAAAGACTGAATCAGCAATTGGGCCGGAGGAACTACAGTCTACTCAAGAGTCTTTCTGCTACCAATTAAGAGTTAGTAATTTTGAGAAAAAGATTCCTTTTGCTTTTCAATTGGCATTTACTATAGGGAAGGACCTTTCAGGCCCCCAGTGGTTTATTTTTAACCTTTGATCTGCATACTAGTATTTATATCATGCTACTGAATGGGTTTTTCATATTTCTACATAATAACAGTACATTGATGTGTTGCAAATCTGAGGTAACGTGTGTGTATGTGTGTTGATTAAGGTGCCAAAGTCCAGAGGCCAAGATCATAAAGTAGGTGGTTGAATATTTCATCATTTAAGGTTGAACTTAAATTGTTGTGATTTAGTATAGTGTTAAGAGAGTGGCTCTTTAGATATCAGATCACTGAAACAGCTTGATGAATATATCCTTATTCAGGAGGGGACTTGGAGTTTGCCATCTTCCTTCTGGTGGAGATGGAAGGAAACCAAGAGGAAGAAAATGGTTGCACATTTTAGACATTGTGTAAAAATTATAAAAGAATATATGCTTTTTGATACATAGAGGCTGTTTATGGCATGGAAATTCTCTTTTGCCCTTTGAGGAAACATTTCCATTTCTCCTGGGTGGTGAGTTACAACTGAGGAAAACCTTCAAAAAATAAGATGAGTGCTTGAATTTGACGGTCATATTGGCATTTATCCCTCTCGCATGTGAAAGAAAATCAAACTGTGTTGCCAGCCTTCCTTTCGAGGAGTGAGGTTCCTGTATTCACACTCAGCATGTTTGTTTCTGTAGCTGTGCCACCCAACACAGCGGAACTGAAGAATCTGGAAGTGCTTAACTTTTTTAATAACCAGATCGAGGAGCTGCCTACACAGATCAGCAGCCTTCAAAAACTCAAACACCTGAACCTGGGGTGAGTGTTCTGGAGGAGAAGGTAAAGGTGAGGAAGAGAGTGAGTGGGATGGGCTGCGGGCAAACAGGGATAACTGTGAGTCAGCATAGGAGTTGCTGGTTTCTAATTTCATTTTATGTTGCAGGTTTTTAAAAAAGTTTTATTGTTTTAATACATCCTTTCAGTGGCCTGCATTACTGCATATCTATTTAAGAGCTAATTGCAAAGCTAATTGTTGGTGCATCAGGGAGTTTTTTTACTGTATTTTGTTTCCAATAAAATTTTATTTCTGTTATGTTGACCAGGAAGGGACTCACTTGTGTAGGGTGAACTGTTCAGACCAGTTGTGCTGTGGTTAATTTTTCTCTCTGTATTTAGTAGAAATCATTGACACAGCTCCTTCCCTTTATAGCAGGAAGGAACCTTTCCTAATGCTGCTTCATGATTCTTGCACTTTTTTTATCGAGTGGAGAGGTTATAATCCTATGTCTTTACCAAGTTGAAGAGGGGAGTATGGATTCAGCTGAGGTGGCAAGCCAGGCAGCATAAAGAACAGTCATGCCATGGATTGCTTTGCTGTTTTCAAAGTCATGCCGGTATTTGACCCTCTCATCAATTATGAGGAAGGGAGGGCAGGCATTGCTGTTTTCATGTCCTGGAAGCCAGTTCCTTGCCAGAGATTGAGTGACTTGCTCCTGATAGTCCCCAAGGTCAGTGACCAAGCTTGGCAGAGAACCCTGTTACTTGGGCTGCATGCCCTCTCCATCAGACACCATTGATGCCACCCAGAGCTCGGGCTTCTGCATTCCATTTTCACTGTTGTAGCTTTTGGATGATAACGCCCCCTCATGCTTTATCCATGTATGAAGCAATATATTGATTAAATTACAGGCTTGCTCTAGAGCTGGAGGTTGGATGGGAGCTCTCCCTTCAGTGACGTGCCTCTGCCTTTAAAGAGTTCTGACTGTGGATTTCCTGTACCTTGTGTTTCAAAAGTGTACTGTTGTGTGTGGAGACAGAAACTTTTTTTGGTGATTTTCAAATATTGGTAACTTAGAGCAATATTCAAACAAGAAGCTCCTAATGTATACTTCTGGCCTTTCCCACACTGTGATTTTCTGGCAGTGCACTCAGATCGTTGATCTGGAATCCAGGGTTCTGGAGTGCCTGTGCCTCCCTGAAGTGCTAGCTGCTTACAGGTACTGTCTCTCATCCAAAGCCCTCGTTACCCAATGTCTCTTGGTCTGTCTCTTCATCTCAGCACTAGAGGTATTTAGAAGTGCCTCCTGCCTGTATTACATGATAGTTCAGGTAGTCCCAGTGAAATACTTGATATAAATAATGCTTCACAAATTGCGAATTTGTAGAAAATGTCAACAGTTACCACTACAGCAAATGGTCATGGAAGTTAACCTATGACCTCTCTAGTAAGAGGTGGAAATCACTCTTCCCTTGGTTTCCGTTGTGCTGTCAGCTCTGGGGAGGCCTCTTGGTGGGCGTGGAAAGGATTGTGTCTAATCTGAAGATTGATGTCTAGAGTTATTTTTAGTGTTACAGTCCCTCCTACCTTTCAATATCTGTCAGCCTATATGAAGTTTTTAAGAAAATATTTTAAAATCAGCTTTTAATTATGCTCATAGGGAACCACATTAAGAGAAATAAGGGACTTTAAGAAAACAATGAAACAGTAATAGAAAATTTTTCTTTGTATTGGAGATATATGTATATATTTTTAAAATTTTTCTTTTCAATTATAAAATATGTATAACATAAAAATTACAATCTTAACCACTTTAAGTGTATGATTTTCACATTGTATGTTCACATTTGTGGTACAGCTGGTCTCCCCAGCAGTTTCTTATACAAAACTGAAACTCTCTTACCCAATACACAATTCCCCATGTTTCCTTCCCTCAGCCCCTGGCATTCACCATTCTATTTGGAGATCATTTTGAATATTAGTATTTGCAGAACAAAAAAAATGATTTCTTTCCCTCTCCTTGGGAAGAATAAGTGACATAAAATAAAGCAAAAATATGAAAATTACACAGCTTACTGTGTATCTTTTGAGGAATTATTATTTCTACATTCTTAAGGAAGTTTTTCTCTGGAAGGACAGATATTTTGTGATGGTTTATGTTTCTATGTAAAACAGTGATGGAGTGTTAACTGTTGGAGAAATGACAATGAAGGCATTTTCAAACCGTCATGAATGTAGAGATTCTCTGGCTAAAATGACTAGGTTGGTTAAAATGACATAAAGTGATTATAGAATTAAGGCCTCTTCTAAGCATTCAGCCTGTCACACATGGGTTTTAGGTCTGTGACACGGGTGAGCTGAGCATTCTGTCTAAATGAGTTTCGTGTGTGACATCTAGGATCTTTTTCCCCATGTAACAGCATGAATAGACTGAACACTTTGCCTCGAGGATTTGGCTCTCTCCCAGCTCTTGAGGTCCTTGATTTGACTTACAACAACCTGAATGAGAATTCTCTTCCTGGAAACTTCTTCTACCTTAGTAAGAAACTTTTAATTCTATAAATCTGTTTAAAATGGTGCTTTGCATTCTGGAAGTGAAATTTATTTGCCAGGGCTCAAACTCCAAGAGTTATTATTGGACATGGATATTTTTTCTTCACCAATTCCTTTTGCGTATTCCTTCCTAGCTCAGCAGTACGTATATATGATATATGGTTACCTGATATCATTGCACTGAAGTGGACTTAGTAATGTCATATTAACTTTCTGATAGAGATTATGTACCTAAATGAGATCAAGTCTCACATTAAGCTAGGGAACTTGACTTTCTTTCTAAAGAGCATGCAAAAAAATTAAAATAAAATAATGTATGTGTCCTCTCATGTGGCTGTTAACTTTTTGTAATCTATTTTCCCAAAGATATTCTAGCCACTTATTTATCAAACTACCCATTAATAAGCCTCTAATAGAATTTTAAAAATTTCCAGCCAGGATTCCTATTTTAAGCCTTTTAAAGAATGCTCTTATTGATGAAGTCTAGTCTATCTATAATACACAATCAGACATTAAGAAATTGTCACAGATAAACACACTTTATCCTCTGTGTGCAAATGGAATTTTTGCTGCAGGTTCCTGTAAAGGTTAGAAAAAGCTTATTTTTCTGAGAACTCATGAAATGTTTAGGGAAGAGTTGCTTTCCTTGCTTGGATGTTCTTTTTCTCCAAATAACGACATGTATGGCATCCAGAGAATATGGTTTTTCTGAGTTAGAAACTTTTCATATGCCTGCTTTCTCTCCCAGACTTTCTCAAGCACATGAAGCCAATTCTTAAATATTTTCTTGGGCCACAGAGGAAATTTTTTGTGTTATGTATAATTACATACAGATTTGTCAAATTTTAAAACATTGCAGTGTTATTGAAAACCTGCAAACAAACAAAATGCATCTGATTATATTTCTCCTTTTTGGTTGAGGTTAAAAGGATGCCTTACAGTGTACACTTCATGTTATCATTATGTAATATTGTGAATAAATTTCTGATTACTGATGCTCTGCCTAAGTTCAGGTTTTCTCTATTTAAAACCCCATGTCATTGTTTTAGCTCCTTTGTCTTCACTTATTTTTGTCAGTAAGGCAATAGAAATGAGTAGTAATTAGTGTGATTATAGAAATAGTAAACTGCAATATGGCCTCCATCACAGGAAAGCCTCTTAGTTAATTATGTTTAACATAGTTGTAGTTACATGAAAGAACCCTTTATCAGTAATTACTGACATAAGTGACCCATTGGTTTTCTTTGTTTTTTTGCTTTGGATGCAAATAAAGCAATAAATGTGAATCAGATGTAATAGAGGAAAAATAGCAATCTTCTCTGAAAGCATATTGATACTCCATGCCCAAAACTGCTGGTGCCCACAGCTGTTAATTGTGTCAGTCCTCTTGGATATAGATGTTTTCCTGAACACACCAGCCCTACAATAAGCCAGTAAATGTAAGTTTGACCTGCTTGTTATTATTGTGAGCTCTAGGTATGTCACAGGCTTTTCACCAAGCCAGGGTTATTAATCAAAGCTGACTCCCTTATATTGATTAGACCTCAAATGGTTGGGTTCCATGCCACCCTGTTTATATATTGCTGTTTAATTTGCAGCCACCCTGCGTGCACTCTATCTAAGTGACAACGATTTTGAAATCCTGCCGCCAGATATTGGGAAGCTCACAAAGTTGCAGATAGTAAGTAATTTATCTAAATTCTTAGAAAATCAATTCACTTCTGCAGCCCTTGTAGGAGTAGAATCAAGTCAATTTGACCAGGAGTATGGTTTGTTGTGCAGGAGTAAACTGCTATTCCTTGTGCGGTTTCTCTTTTATCTGCAGACACTTGTAAATGAATGGAAAGGATTGAGCCTTCAGAGAAGAGAGGGCATGGAAGAGGACAAGAGTTTCTGTTGAGCGCCTCTTTATGTGAAAATTGTTTTGACAACTCCTTGTTTTCTTATGTTTAGCTCAGCCTTAGGGATAACGACCTGATCTCGCTGCCTAAGGAAATTGGGGAGCTTACTCAGCTTAAGGAACTTCACATTCAGGGGAACCGCCTGACCGTTCTGCCCCCAGAACTAGGTAAGGTTGCTGATGAATGATCTTAGTTCTGGGTTTTATTAGTAATGATGATCCCACTGTAGCAATTCTGAACAGCCCTCTCTCCCCTTCTTGGCAAATACCCACCATCAAGGCACCCAATTCTGATCATTTCTAGGGGCATCTGTCATTGACATTTGTCATTGGCCAGAGTCCAGCTGTTAGGAGTTTGACCTATCCTGATGCTGAGCTCACCAGCTGCAGCACCCAGCATCTCAGAAACTTGACCCAGCTCAGCTGCCTGCATGGCATCCTGGAAAAAGCCTGAGATGAGTAGTAATGGTCTTATCTTTGGCTCCTCCTTTACCAGCTGCTTATGTTTGTTTGTTTATCAAACCATTCTTATTTTTTTTAATCCCTAAACTTTT